ATGCCTAGTTTTTAGTTAAACTGCTTAGTTGGATTGTAGTAATGGTTATCCCACCGAAGGGTTATTGTGGGTGTCACACATGACGGACTGGTTCGTGACATCTTGATTACATGTTTTTTCGTATTCTATATTTGGTATCCGTTTTAAATAAAGCCCATTTTTCAACTTTAAAATTAGCATAATATCAGACACCAACAAAGAGAAGAATAAACTTACAATATTTCAAAAAAATATATAAGAGGTAAAGTTACTATAACAAAAAGTAGGATAAAGGAAAATAAGATTATTAAATTATTAGAACAAAAAAAAATAGCAACACTATCGTACCAACTCACTGGTTTTGTTAAGAGAGCCTTTTGTCCTTACATGAATTAATTTTTTACAACACAATAAAATTCACATAACATGAAATTTATAGATCAAAATATCAAAATTTAGCAAACTCTAGTGATGTTTTACCAAAAGGCCTCTTAAATAATCCCAATAATCAGAACGCAAGATATGTTTGTACACTTGTTATTCTATCTTTAAGCATTCGTGAAAATGGAACAATGACGCTGTAAAGTCTAGCATTCACAAATATAGGTACGGATATTTGATCCATGCTCGAAACAATTTCTACTCAATGTTCGATACTATTGTATCGATCATTGCTCATGATATGCAACAAGTCACCTATGTTAACTGCTGACGCACCTTTGACTAGATTTATGTGGATCCACTTATCCCCTTCAATCCCTCATACATATAGGCATCTCCTGTTGTCTTAGAAGACCAGACTAGTGCAATACTTGTCCCAGTGTTGGTGAGCCCCCATGGCATACTAAAATTAGGGCATGGTGGATAGTAGTTTATGTTGATAGACATAGTTTCCATCAAGAGACGTTCTAAAGATTCATTAATTTTGTTGACATTGAGACCCTTCAATAGAACCTCTAACAACTTTTTAGCAAATCGTTTAGCACAGTTTTGATACTCCAAGACTTGGCTCACCAGTGAATAAGTCAGGAATTTCGGTAAGAGAAATGAAATTTAATAGCAAGTTAATTTAATATCAAAGTCAAGAATTTAACTAAGAGTGTATTCATAGTCCATCAGAAACAACATATTTACCCCAACAAAGTAGAAATAAGATTTGTGTACATCCTACCCTCTCTATATCTCGACTTGTAGAATTATTCTAGATATATTAATGTAAAACGGATAGAAAAAATTCCTACATATGCAATATATTCCGGATTCAAGTTATATACACATTTATAAAATTTAGAGATAATGGTCATAAATACGGTTGTAGTAAAAGACTTTAACAAGTCTCTTATCTGACTTTCATCAACTAACTATCAAATTACATCTCAAAATTAATGATTCAGTTACCATTATGATGAAATTTTAAGCCTAATTAATTTGTGACACAACCTTTTGTTATTATATTGAGACACTTGGTAGAGTAATTTTCGAACTTTGTTTTGATAAATACCAAATTATAGTTTGATAGAAAACACAATCACCTTACACTTAAAGATTTTAAACTCATGAAAAAAAACAATAGTACCACTATGTTTTTTACTTACTCAAAAACACATGACCTATAATTTAAACAGAACAGAAACCCAAAAACATGCCTTGTTTAAGGAGGACAAAAGAAATTATCATTTTGTTGGTTACAACCATGTTTTATACTATCCCTCAACTCCAAAAAATTTTCATTTTCTCACCAATAACACTCCAAAACATCAACACAGATTCACTAGAATTATATTTGTCTTTACAATACTTTACTTTTTCTTCAGGTGGCAATTTAAAGAACTTGTGTCCGACATCTTTTAGATCTTCAAGAACTTCAATTGGGATCTCGTGATTGATGTTTTGAAAGGAACCCCACTTGCTTGTTGCTTCTTGAATTAATTGTTAAACATTTAAATAATCAAAATTTGATAAATCAATTATTGAAATTAATTCTTGATTGTCAATTTGAGATTTGTGAAGTTTGTATTCTTTTGGTTAAATATGATTTAGGAAAATTTCAAGTCTTATGTCTATTAGGACTGTTAGTCCGTTTACTACTTGATTACAAAATCAAGTATGTCATCATTTGGTTCAAAATTTGATGAAGTCATTTGCGTGTTGAATCTTGATGGGTCTGTACTAATGCAAGAAGTTAATTTAGGGTTTTTTATGGTTGGTTTGAGAGGGGTGTGTCGCGGGAGGATGGGAGGGAAGAAGGTATCCTATGAAAATGATAAAAGAAGGAGATTTAGGGTTTTTATGGTGGGTTTGAAGAGGGGATGTTAGGGTTTTGCCCTGATATTCTGAATTTTATCTTTATATTGAATGAAAATCAAAGTATTACAATAAATGTTTATACGCTATTATATCCATAGAAGATTATAGTAAAAATAGTACTACTATAATGTAATATTGTATTTTGCTTTTAATATTATAATTTTATAGCCATAAATTATTATGACAATTGAAAATAATTGATGGGACATCTATCAATTTTGTATATTTTTTTGAGTACATAGCAAAAAACTTTAAAAAGTCATAAAAACAGTACTATTTAAATCTGACAGAAGAAAAAATTGCATATGATTGAGTACATTTCCAAATAAACTACTAAATCTTCATCATATTTGTGTTCTTCATTTTCTAGAAAATCGACACATTAATTTACCTCTCTCCAAACATGTTATATAGTGTCGAATGTGAAATTATTAAATTTCAACTATGTCAAATACTCAAAAATCATGAAAAATGAAATTCTACATTCATTATATTGGTTAAAAGGTCGAAAACTACATTATACAACATATGAACATAGTTTTTTAATAATTTGAGCTAATTAATAAATGGGGCGATGACAAGACAAGACTTGGATCGACTTGACAAATCATATTTGAATGAAGGAGTTTTTATTATTAGGATTTCTTTTTTGTAGAATTTACATACTGTTTGATAATCAAAGCTCGACATTTGATACTAGTTTTCATCATTGAGATACTACCTATAATAATCTTTTATGATTGAAGGGTTGATACCAGTCTTAGAAGTAAAGTAATTCATTTTAGGTTCAAAATGTTAATGATGGAGATAGTTACTACCGGTCATGATTTTAGAATATGATAAGCTTCATTTAAGTAGGTGTTTTCCCCTCATTTTTTATACTCATTAACCTATTTAAAATCAAATGCAAATACATTTCTAAACTCAAGATCTTTAATTGAAGGCGGAGATAACTACCCATCATATCATTTTTCATATTATAGAGTTCAAGTTTAAAATTATCACAGTGGTTATACACCAACAATTAGAAGAATAAACTTACAATATTTCGAAGAAAAATATATGACGTAAAGTTATTATAAACAAAAAGTAGGATAAAAGAGAATATTATTATTAAATTATTAGAACAAAACAAGAAAACATTTTTCTAAGGAGAGACTTTTTTTCCTTATATGATAAAAATTTTACAATATAATAACATTAACATAATAAGAAATTCGTAAATTAGTCAAATTTTAGCAAATTCTAGTGATGCTTTTCTAGAAAGCATCTTACGGTGGAAATAATCCCAATAATCAGAATTCAAGATATGTTTGTACACTTATTTTTCTCCATCTTTCAACATTTGCGGAAATGGACCAATGACATTGTCAAGGATAGCATTCACAAATAGTTGTACAGATATTGGAGCCATGCTCAAATCAACAACTACACAATACTCGATACTCCAGTGTCAATCATTGCTCATGATCTGCAACAAGTCACCTATGTTAAACGCTAAAGTCACCTTTGAATAGATTATGTGGATCCATTTATCACCTTCATTCCCTCGGACGTATAGGCCTCCTCTGCCTTTTTAGAACAACAGAGTAATGCAAGACCCGTCGCATTGTCGGCGAGCCCCCGTAGTGATACTTGGATTTGGGCATGGTAAATAGTAGTTCATGGTTATAGATATAGTTCAAGTCAAGAGAGGTTATAAGGACTCATCACTTTTTTGTCATTGAGACCCTTCAATATCACTTTTAACAACTCTTAGCTAGTGGCTTAGCCCACTTTTGATACCCCAAGGCTTGGTTCCTATAAATCAGTGAATAATTCAGGAATTTCATTAAGAGAAATAAAATTTAATAGCACGGTAATTTAATGTAAAAGTCAAGAATTTCAGTAAGAGTGTTTCCATACTCCATCCAAAACAACATTTTTACTCCCACAAAAGTAGAAATAAGATTTGCATACATCATATCCTCTCATACCCTAGTTGTGGAATTATACTAGAAATATTATTGTAAAACGGATAGAAAAAATTCCTATGTATGCAAAATAATTCTAATTTAAGTTATATAAACCTTTATAAAAAATAGGGATAATGGTCATAAATACGATTGCGGTAAAAGATTTTAAAAGGTTTCTTTTCTAACTTTCATCGACCAACTATCAAAATACGTATCAAAATTAATGATTCAATTGACATTACAATTAAATTTTAAGCCTAATTAACATGTGAAACAACCATTTGTGATTGTATTGAGACACTTCATAGAGTAAGTTTCAACTTTGTTTTGCTAAATAGCTAGTTGTAGTTTATATAGAAAACACAATCACCTTACAAAAAAATAATACTCCATGTATCCTTTTTGCAAAATCAAAAACATGTGACCTATAAATTACACATAACACAAAATCTAAAAACTTGCCTTTTTTAGGAGGCCAAAAATTGCTATCATTTTGCGGCTTACAACCATGTTTATACTGTCATGGCCGTGGAGCACTCCCTAGACGTAACTGACGTTGTCATCCTTGGAGAGGACTTAGACAAGTCCTTAGCGTTCGTCATAACATTTCATAGGTCGAAAATGCAAAAAAATTAAAACTTTTTATATATTGAGGTTTACATAGACGCCTCACATACTACTTATGGAGTTTACTTAGACTCCTTGTATAGGAAGCTTATATAGGCTTCTCGTTTAGACAACATAACCACCATATAAGGATTTAGTCTAATAATACAGTCTCACATTAAACCATATAAAATGAAGTAGAACATTCGGGCATAGCCCTTAATACAAATTCATAATTGCCACGTAGGGCTTACAACAATATCTTCAACAATATGAGAGAAATGAACGTCTTTAGACTATAACAATACTATTAAGGTACAGTACTTGGCACATCCTCGAACTAGAGGACATACCAAAACTTGGGGAAAAGTCTAAGTCTTTTTGCAATCAACCTTGATACCTCAACAACTCGAACCTACATATTTGTAGAAACATAAATAATATGGGTTAGTACAACCACTTGTACTAAGTGTGGATATATGCACATAAACCATTTGAAATCATGTTTAAAAAGGAAAATTTGTTCAAAACCATGTTAAGTCACTTAAAAAGCCTTTATTGACAATAAGGAACAGATACAAACCAATGATCACATATATCTATTAAGACAAGTCCATATTCAACACAAGACCACCATTATCAATAAAGTCACGTCAACATGGATATTATCAGCATAAGGTCATATCAACATGAATAGTAGCACATCAAGATCATATAACCAAAACAACTCTAACATAAGTCACAACAACAAAGAATGTTCAAGAGTTTATATCATTGTAACTTATAAGACCCTTACCAACAATCTCATCCCAAACATACAAGTGCAATGCTCATGTGAAGTCCCATAATCCTACATAATCAAGTAAACAAGGAATGAGATCATAAGTAATGCCTAACTCCATATAACATAGCATCATGAGTAATTATAATCATATATAGACATATAGACCAATAACATGTTCATAAATCAAACTAGCATCATATAGGGTCATCAACATCCACGTAAAGTCAAATATGTATATCATTAACTTTATAAGAGCATGAGAACAACAACCTGGGACTTCCCTCAAGGCCAACTAGTGCAATGTATAGGTAGAGTCTCATACCCCTACCTACATTAAGAAGAACCCCTTAAGTAACCCTAGTTAGAGTTCACTTTATTACTTTCATTTTACTTTTGGGAACAATCGCCTTAATGGACAATAGACCATGTGAGCTAAACATGGAATCCGGTGTAATGAAACCCTATACCGAAAGAAGATGGTCTATTTTCCAAGGCAGGACCAAAACATGAACATAACATTCTAGCTGGATCCACTAGCTAGTATTCTTATGGGGACAACATAGTTCAAGAACTAGGAGATATGCATTAGAACCTCTTTATGCATAATTGCGTTATAGTCACCATCTCATGAGAACCATTGTGAACCTACCTTCCCATATTGGGAAGGGATACCTCTCATATCTAGTTCACTCGGTTCTAAGCTAAAGTCCCTTTTTTGAAATGTCATTAAGTCATTTTTAATCATCATAGCTTAATATAGGTCATAGGAGACTAACAACCTTGTATAACATGTCATTATCTCATTAGGTATAGGATGAGAACTTCCTTTCATCACAAACCATCATTAGTGAGATCAACATATCGTAGTCATATCATCTAAGGCACAAAAGAGAAACATCGTCCAACTTGCATTATCATAGCCTCACCATGATCTCACCTTAAACATAATCATAGCATGCCATCATATCATATCTTTTTACACTAATCACATATAGTACTTCAATTGCACAAAATCATCAATGCCATCATCATTTATGTAAAGAGTTCAAGATCACAAAGTCTTACCAAATAGCCTCCACGGCCTTCATCAAGAATATCACCCTCAATTCATCACAATTATCCAATAATCCAGTCATCATCATCATAATATAGTGAATTAAGTAATAACATAACCAATTCTAACAACCTTAATCATCTACAAGTCCAATTCATAACTAGGGTTAGGGGAAAAGGTTCAAATCTTCAAGAAATAGATCCAATCCCAAAAATACATGACAAATAGGACTTCCATGAATGAAATAGAATAGTTAGCACAAGTCAAACAATTAATACGTTCATCAATTCCCATCAATTCATAAGCAAGATCCATGATTTGAGGAATCGGGGAAAGGGCATGGATCACACGAGATTCCATTAATCAACATCAATTACTCAATAATATACACTTAATTATCCATAAGTAATCTCAATTCATCCTTATGACTCATCAATTTCAAGTTTAGAAAAAAAAACTCGTTTGTAGAGAAAAACCCTTGGAATAGGGTGATGTAAAAAACAAGTTTGGATGGACCTCTTGGGGAAAGAGATCCCAAGAGTGAAGAATTCATACCTTAATGAATACTTTATCCAAGAATTTGAGAAGAAAAATTGAGAACTTGACCTTCTTCTCCAAGCTTCCAATGCTCTTCAATGGAGGTTGACTTAGAGAGAGAATTTAGAGAGAAGTGAGGGTGATTTGAGGAATTGATTTGGAAGGGTAAAAATGACTTAAAACTGACGCTAAATCAAAATATAGACACCCCTAAATTATCCAAAATACCCCTCACTTAATTGGGTCTTTTTGTGAAGTCAAATTGACTTAAAAACTACGCGAACGAATTTGAGAAGTGGCTGCGTGTCACAGGGGCAGTTCCAAATCCTTTTTCTGAATCCGGGTTGAGTATGTGAGCCTCATGAAGTACCCACGACACGAGGCACTTTTTAACTGGTCGGAGGATGCTTCGACAACTTGCTAGCCAATGTTCAGGTCCTCCTCAAGGACCCTTCGGGTGGTCCTTGGGGAGTCATGACTAGACTTTTTGACTCTATAAATAATATTTTACCTATTGAAAGTCTTTTTACAGGTTTTAGACTTTATATGACACTCTGAAACCTTCACCAAACACAAGAACGTCTACTAGTTTAATTTCGCTAGTTTTCGGACATCAAAGTCTTCCTTTGAGATTTAGGCTTTAATACCCCTAAATCAACTTTATTATGTTATTCTAGGTCTGAAAACATAATTTTAATCATTATTAGATAGGTGAGGCTCTAGTCTAGGTTCATAGGACTTCCGAGATGTTACATATAGTATCCCTGTGCTCCAAAACTTTTTACATTTTTCTTACGAATAACACTCTTAAACATCAACATAGATTCACTAGCACTATTGTTGTCTTTAAAGTATTTAACTTTTCTTCATGTGGCAATTCAAAGAACTAATTGTGTCTAACATCTTTAACACCTTCAAGAACATCAATTGGGATACCATGATTGATCATTTGGAAGCAACCCCACTTGCTTGCTGCTTCTTGAATTGATTTTCAATATTTAAATTGTCAAAATTTGATAAATCAATTGTTTTAATTGATTCTTGATTGTCAATTTAGATTAGTCTAGTCAGTGTTCTTTTGGTTGAATACATCGATTTAGGATAATTTCAAGGCTTTTGTCTACTAGACCTTTTAGTCCATTTGCTTTCTTGATTAAAAAATCATGTATGTCATCATTTGGTTTAAATTTTGATAAAGTCATTTGTGTCTTGAATCTTGATGCATGTGTACTAATGGAACAAGGAAATTTGGGGAATTTTTTATGGTTGGTTTGAGAGGGGTGTGTGGGGGGGAGGGGAGAAGTGGTTTTTCTCTGAAAATGAAGAAAAGGAGATTTAGGATTTTTATGGTGGGTTTGAGAGGGGGGGGGGGGAGGGATGTTAGGGTTTGCCCTAATTTTCTTACCTTATTTGAATTTTTTTTACTGAAGGAGAATCGAAGTATTACAATAAATATTTGTACTTTATTATATCCATAAAAAAATTATCACTAAAAATAATAGTACTATAATATAATATTGTATTTTTCTTTTAACATTATAATTTTATAGCCATAAATTAATGACAATTGAAAATACTTGAAGGGGGCATATATCAAATGTGTATATTATTTTTTAGTACATAGAAAAAACTTTTAAAAGTCATAAGCAGTATTAATTAAAATCTGTTAGAATAAAAAAATTCATATGCTTGAGTGAATTTTCATATAAATTACTGAATCTTCATTGTATTTGTGTTCTTCGTTTGCTAGAAAATAGATAGATTAATTTACCTCTCTCCAAACATGTTAGAGTCAAATATGAAATTATTAAATTTCAGCTATAACAAATGCTCAAAATTCATGAAATGTGAAATTATACATTTATTATAATGGTTAGAAGGTCGGGAAACTACATTCTACAACATAATAAGTTGAGCTAATAAATGAATGGGGCAATTACCAAGCCTAAAATGGATTGATTTGACGAATCATATTTTCATGAATCTGTTTTATTGTAATGGTGAAGTTTTTTTGTAGAATTGGCGTAGTGGTTGATAAACAAAACTCGACATTTGATATTAGTTGTCGTCATTGAGAGACTACCTATAACAATCATTGATGATTGGAGATTTTTGTCACCCTATATTTGATACAAGTCTTAGGAGTAAAGTAATTCATTCTAAACTCGAAATCTATAGTTAATGATGGATATAGTTACTACTAGTCATGATCTTAGAATATGATATGCTTCATTTAAATGGATATTTTACACTCATTTTTTATATTCATTATCCTATTTAAAATTAAATGCAAATACATTTCTAAACTCAAGATCTTTAACTGATGGCGGAGATATTACTATCCATCATGAGTACATGTTTTTTTCTTATTCTATATTCGATATCCGGTTTGAATAAAGCCCTTTTTTCAAATTATGGAGTTCAAATTTAAAATTGTCATAGTGTTATACACCAAAAATTTGAAGAATAGACTTACAATATTTCAAAGAAAAATATATGAGGTAAAGTTATTATAAACAAAAAGTAGGATAAAGGAAAATAAGATTACTAAATTATTAGAACAAAACAAGATAGCCACACTATCATACCAACTCACTTGTTATGTAAATAGAGACTTTTTTTTTCCTTACATGACAAAAATTTTTACAATACAATAACATTCACATAACAATAAATTTTTATATTAAAATATAAAATTTGACCAAAATCTAGTGATGCTTTTTACTAGAAGGCCTCTTTCTGTAGAAGTAATCTCAATAATCAAAATGCAAGATATATTTGTACACTGATTTTTCTCCATCTTTAAGCATTTGTGGAAATGGACCAATGACACAGTCAAGGATAGCATTCACAAATAGCGGTACAGATATTCGGGCCTTGCTCAAATCAACTGTTACATAATGCCCGATACTCTTATATCTATCATTCCTCATGATCTACAACAAGTCACAAGAGGCAAGGAATAATAATTAGCAATAGGGTTCTTTTTCTTCTTCCTTTTCTGTGTTTTTTCTTCTTTTATCTTACATATAAGTATCTAAAGACCCTTGTTATGGAGCTACATGTGATGTCCCACCACAATTCCGTCCATTTTTCAGCATCCGAATGGGGCAGAAGGACCTAGAGCCTTGAAGATGTTTGTAAAAGACTCTAGACCCTTCTAGATCCTTCGAGAAGACTAGAGAATTCCCTAGAATTCTCTAGAACATTTTAGAACCTGTTGGAAGAGCTAGGCATATTCTAGAGAGTGTAGAATTCTCTAGAACATGTACTAAAGTGTAATTACTTAGGGACTTGTAGAACAATATTTATTTACTCTTAGGCCCTTAGGGAGTAGTACAAATAGGAGGGCCTCTTATTTGTAACTCATCGAACAATACAACCAAGTAAATTAGTAATACAAGGTTGCTTCTTCTAAAGTTCTCTTTGCCTTTTCTTGTCTTTCTTTGCATTATCCTAGCGTTCCGAGTAGTAAAAGCTTACTTGAGCTTATAAGATCGTGAAAGAATCGTGAGTAAGTTGTCGAGTGCCGCACGAAGTACGAGCAAATTCTCTAGGTCCGTAACAAAGTGGTATCAAAGCAAGTTGATCATAAGAGAATGACGAACAAAGGAGACGTTCGGTGCTAGCACCACCAACGTCCGCATGGATGGAGGAAAGAAGAACCGGAAAAGGAAGAAGAATCAGAAGGGAAATGAAGAAATACTTCACACCAAGCGAGGCGCAAACATCTCACCCACCCACGATTGTCGATGGGTTGCAAGGGTAAAAATGGCAAGGCAAGCCGTTGAGATCTTAGGCCGACGCGTGAATGGGACGGACAACAAATTCAAAATCCTTGAAGACTTCACCCTTGAGGAGATTTAGAACATCCGAAAAGAGTTGGAGGGTCGACAGTGGGCCGAGTTCGAGATGAAGGAGGCCATTAATTGCTTGGAGTATCGGTTTTTGGAATCCCTTGACACGATTGAGGCATTGAAGAACAAGGTGAAAACCCTCAAGGAAGGCATAGAGGTTGGAGGATCTGCACCACTTGACCGGGAAAAGGAGGCCAGAGTCGAGGCTCTCAAGCCACCGATATTCAAAGGTGTCCGCGACGCCCAAGAGGTGGAGAACTTTCTATGGTACTTAGAGAACTACTTCAAGTGTAGTCGGGTGAGGAGTGATGAAAACAAGATTAACACTGCCGTGTTGTATCTTTCAGAAATGGCTATGATGTGGTGGAGGCGCAAGGAGGCCGAGATCGGGAAGGGTACATGTACCATCGACACATAGGAACAATTCTGCGAGGAATTCAAGAAGTCCTTCTTCCCTAATAACGTCGTGTACGAGGTGAAATGCAAATTCCGGGAGTTGAAACGAACGGGAAGCATTCGGGCATATGTGAAGGAATTCACAACTCTAACCCTCCAAATTCCCAACCTCACGGACGAAGACATGTTGTTCCACTTCATGGAAGGACTGCAAAATTGGGCAATGGCCCATAGCTGTGAAATGCAAATTCCGGGAGTAGAAAGGAACGGGAAGCATTCGGGCATATGTGAAGGAATTCACAACTCTAACCCTCCAAATTCCCAACCTCACGGACGAAGACATGCTGTTCCACTTCATGGAAGGACTGCAAAATTGGGCGAAGACAGCGTTGAAGCGGCACCAAGTCAAGACCATAGATGAAGCCATCACACAGGCCGAAGCCTTGACAGATTATAAGCATGATCGACATGACAAGGCAAAGGGTAAGGAGGTGAGAAGTAGTCATGCTAAAGGTGGGGGAGACCAGGGCCGAGTCAAGGAACAACAGGCACACTCCAAGCAGCATGACACTCACAAACCGGAAGGCAAGAGGTTTGAGCGTCAGAGATACACAGAGAAGCGGATGCAGGCCAGCAAAGGATATGGATGCTACATATGCGGAGGTCCACACGGCTATGCCAGGTGCCCCGAGATGAAGAACCTTGGTGCCATCTACGCGAACAGAAGAAGAAGGACGCACAAGAGCAAGGGAAGGACGCGGGCAAGATGCAGTTGGGCATGGTTGGACTATGCGGTGCGATAGCCAAGCAGACCGAGAAGCCAAGTGATTTCAGCACGCAGTATGTGGACATCTCCATCAACAGACGACAAGCTCGTGCCATGGTAGACTCCAGGG